GTAGAGCCCACGCTCTGACACCAGTCCAGCCAGCACCAGTGCGCGGAAGGTGGGCGCAGGTAGGCGCAGCAGGGCATGCAGACAGAGGCGCCGGGCCAGGCGCCGCGCTGCCCCCCCACCCGCACCCCGGGCCAATGCAGCCGCCGCATAGAGTGGCACAAAGAGCCAGGGTGCAGCAAGCAGGCGCAAGGCGCCCAGCAGCACCGGTACGTACAGCCGGCCCCGGCGGGCACTAAGTGCCAGCACTGCCAGCCCCAGTGCTGGCACAGCCCTGCCCCACAGTGCACCAGCCAAGCCCAGCCCCGCCAGCACTCCCTCCAGCGCCCCCCCACTTCCTGGTGCCCACAGTGCCACCAGCAGCAGGAGCAGGGCAGGTGCCGAGGGCCAGGCAGCCGCCAGCAGCGCCAGTGCTGCACACACGGCATGCGGCAACAGAGGGGAGCCTGGCACCCGCCATCGCTCCAACCCAGTGCCTGCCCACGCCCGCTCAGGGGCTGGGCAGCCATCCCCAGGGCCCCGCGGGCCTGGCCCCTCCTCATCCTCCTCGTCCTGGCCCTGGCTGGCCCGCTCCAGCACACCCGCTGCCGCCTCCCCATCCAGCTCCAGGTCGCTCAGGTCCGGCTCCAACACCCAGCCCGGCACCTCCTGCCCGTCAGGCTCCAGGTCACTCAGCTCCGCCAGCCCTGGTGCCTCCTGCCCGTCAGGCTCCAGGCCACCCAGTGCAGCCCAGCTCAGCTCCAGTGCCACAGCCTCCTGCCCATCAGGATCTAGATGCCCCAACACCACGCGCCCGGCAGGTTCTAAGTCTCCTGGGGCAGCCTGCCCATCGGGCTCTAGGTGTCTAAGCACCACCTGGCCACTGGGGTCTAGGCCTCCCAATGTGCCCCGCCTGCTGGCTTCTAGGTGTCCAAACGCAGCCCGGCCGGCCGGTTCTAAGTCACTCAACGCCACCCGACCATTGGGGTCTAGCTGACCCAACAGAACCCGGGCATCCGGTTCTAGGCTGCCCAAGATGGCTCGCCCCTCGGGTTCTAGGTGTGCCAAGGCCTCCTGGCCATCGGGTTCAAGGCTGCCTAATACAGCCCAGCCCTCAGGTTCTGGCTGTCCTGACACTGCGCGGCCATCGGGATCTGGATGTGTAGAGGTGGCCTGGCCTGGCTGCAGGGCGCTGGCCGCCCCCTGCCCGCAGGGCTGGCGCTGGCCTGGGGGGGCGCAGCCACCTACTTTGAGGCTCTTGGGCTGCTGGCGGACCTCAGCGGCGTGCTTCTGGCGCAGCTCCTGCTCGCGCCGCTTGTTGTACTCCAGCTGGTTGGACAGCTCCGTCTGGTGCTGCAGGCGCGTCAGCTCTGTACGTGTGCGCTGCACCGTGTGCAGCTGCCGCAGCTCCAGCTCCTGAGACGACTCGTGCTGCCGCAGCAGCATAGCACACTCCAGGTCCTTCTGCGTCTGCTTCTTGTTCAGCTCCTGGTGGGCAGGCAGAGTGCTTAGCCCCGCCCCCTGCTCCAAGCACCCAGACCCCGCCCCTTTCCACTCAAGCCTTGCCCCCTCCCCCAGGCCCTGCCCACCTCGCGCAGCAGGTCCTGGTCGAGGCCATGGCGAGCCAGGAGCAGGCGGCGCTTGTACTGGCGACACTGGAGCTCAAAATGTTGGCGCTGGCGCCGCAGCAGCCCCGCTTCCTCCTCAGCCTGACGCTGCTGCAGCGCCTCCTTCTGGCGCAGCAGCCACTCCTGCTTCTCCCGCTTGGGTGTGCTCTGGTTCTCCTGCAGCTCCTGCATGACATCTGTTCAGTGCCCGCTCACCCACGCCCCAGTGCGCCGGGGCCCAAAGTGGGCCCCGGATGCCTGGGTCCTTTCTCCCAGGATCTAAAGGGGGCCCGGACACCAAGGTTTTCTGTACCCCCCCAAAAAAGAGGCTCCCGCATGCCACAGCTCTTAACCCCAAAGCTTTAAGGGTCCTGGCTGTTAAAATTCCCTGTGCCACGAGAGGCTCCCAGACACCAGGGTTCTTTATCCCAGGCCAACAAGGGGGTTTGCCAGCTCCCAGGAACAGGAGAGTCCCAGATACCAGGGTTCTCCATGCCCAGGAGAGGACTGTCCTGGCACCAAGATCTAAACCCATGGCTGTGCCTGGTAGGGGAGGGGCTCCCACAGGTGCAGAGGCCTGGACACCTGGGTCCCTTTCCTGGCAGGGAGGTGGGGGGACAAGGACGCCTGGGTCCTCACCTCCTTGAGCTGCTCCTTTCGCAGCTTGTAGTGTCGTTTCTGGGCCTCAAGGAGGCCTCCCAGCTCCTTCTTCTGCTGCGCCAGGATGTGCTGCTGGAACTTCTTCTCCTCTGCCAGTGCTGCCTTGATCTGAGGGGGCGAGGCAGCAGAGTCGGAACTGGCCTGGCCCCGCCCCCACCCCAGGCCCCGCCTCTCACAGCCAGGCCCCACCTCTTTCTCACAGATGGCCTGGTGCTTGCGGGCCAGCTTGTCGGCCTCGGCAACGCAGGCCCCGCGCTGTGCCTCGAGCTCCCGCTCCAGGCGCAGCTGGTGCTCATCGCGCTCCGCACGCAGGCGATTCTCCAGCGCCGCCAGCTGCTTCTGGTGCTGCCGCCGCATGCGCTTGTAGCCACTCAGCTGCTCCCGCAGTGCCGAGTCCTGTGCGTGCTCCTGCATCTGCCGCGTCACCTGCCACCAGCCGCACGGTCAGCCGGCCAGGCATTGCCCCCCACTGAAAGCCTCCACCCATGGCCTGTAAGCCCCACCCACCTGGGAGACCCCAACATCCACCTGCCTCCTGACAAGCCCCATCCACGGCCCACACCACCTGCGGCCTGGAGCCCCACCCCCTGGCATTAAGCCCAGCCCTTGGCTCCCAGGCCCTGCCCAAATCGCCTGGAGAACCCAGCTCACCAGCGAGGCAGTACGGATGGTAGCAAAGTGGTCGCGGTTGCGGCAGTAGGCGCGGCGCCGGGCGGCTGATGAACTCTGGGCCTCCATCTCAGGCTGGTATGGGTCATCATACAGGCTATCGTGGCCCTGGCAAGGGCAAGGGGGAGGGGGGCAGGGTCTGTGGGACCTGGGCCTCCCAGGCCTCACTGCTCTCACCCCCTAGCTCCCACAGAACCCAGGAGTCCCGACTCCCAGCCCCTTCTCAACCTCCGCTCCCAAAGAAACTAGGCATTCAGTGACCCCTGCTTTCAGCAGCTAGCTCCCACCCCACAGGCAGGGGTCCCAGCCCCCCCTGCTCCAACCACCCACAGCTCAGAGGACCCAGGCATCTGGGCTCCCAGTCCCTCTGTTCTCAACCCCACCCCAAAGAACCCAGGCGTCCAGGCTCCCAGACCACCCCCTCCCCCAGCCTGGAGAACCCAGGCGTCTGGCCCCCACGGTACCGGGAGGCGGTGGATGACAGAGCTGTTGGAAGCCACAGTGTGCTCGCCCTCCTGAAGCAGGGCCAGGCCAGGGCCATCGTCCTCATCGGGGTCGGGGCTAGGCCCCTCGGGGTCAGAGGCCTCATCGGCCAGGCTGTTGACACTGCTGCTCTGGCTGCTGGCGCTGATGGACATGCTGGGCACCGAGTGGCTGCTGCCCACGCTGCTCACCGTGCCACCACGTTGCACCATTGTCTCTGCCTCCTGCCGCAGTTGGGGGAGGGGGGGAGGTAAGGCAGGGGGCCATGCAGCGGGGCTGGGAGGGGGGCAGGGGCTCTCATGCACCCCGGCTGGGGGGCAGGAGCAGCAGGCGGGGGCAAGGCTGTGGGGGGCCAGTGTCGCGGGATGTACCCGGCTCTGCAGGGTCCACATGTCCTGGCCCCCAGCCCACCCACCTCATCATCATCAGGGCCGTCAGGGCCAGGGCCGTTGGGTGCCTCCTGGAAGAGGATCTTCTTCATTTTGCGGTATTGCAGATTGTCCAGCTCCCGCACTGCATCCTTGGTGCGCTGGATCAGCTCCAGCACTACCGTGGGTGGCCGTTCACGCAGCAGAAACCGGTGCTGAGGGGGTATGGAGGGGTCAGTGTGGGCTGGGGGCCTTGACCCTCCACCCCAGCCCTGGCCCCAGACTCCACCTTGAGCAGCACATCAGAGGCCGGCCGGTCCTGCGGGATCTTCTGCAGGCACGAGTCCACAAAGTTGCGGAAGTACTCCGACCTAAGAGGGGTTGGCAGTGTTGGCCTAAAACTCATTCAAGCCCTCCTTGTTTGTCGGACAAGTGCCGGTGGTTAAACCAGAGTTCTCCTTAATTACTCCCAAAAATTACTATGTTATCCTTTTATTTTAAGGTTCTATTGGTCCATTGTTTTAAACGTTCCACGTTCCCTGGCATTTTACTGGGGTTAACTTTAAGCCACAATCACTACCAATTTTGAGTCATCTTGAAAAGGCTTCTGTGTGTTTGGCCAACTTGACATGATCAGATTTGTTTTTCCTTACAACAGGCAGCTGTCAAGACCCAGGCGTCCAGGAACCAGCCCCCACTTCTCTCCCAGAGAACCCAGGCATCCAGGCTCCCAGCTGCCCTGCTGTCACCCCCTAGCTATGTTTCCCTTCCAAAGACCCCAGGTGTCCAGGCTGCCAGCGCCCACTGTTCCAAAGACCCCAGGGCTGCAAGGGGCTCGGGGTCTGTACAGGGAGAAGTGAAGTGAGGCGTGGAGGAGTTTGTGCAGGAGATCAGGGGGTTAGGGGATCTGTACAGGGGATTTGAGGGTCTGTTCTAGGGAACAGTGATCTGGGGGGTTTTCACCAGTGGGGTGGTGGGGCTCGGGGCGGGGGGGTCGTCTCACTAGCAACTGGAGAGGCTCTGGGTGGCGGTATAAGGCACTCATGCCATACATGTTGAACAGCGGCGGCTTCCTCTCCGCTGGAGAACACAGGGGGTGTTACTAACCTGGGGACCCCACCCTGCCCAGACCCTGCCCCCAGGCCCCGCCTTACCCAGCTCGATGCAGGTGATGCCTAGGGACCAGACGTCCACCTTGCCGTCATACTGCCCCTCATCCATAGCTAAGATCACCTCAGGTGCCATCCTGCCAGAGACCACATCATTCCCACCCCTCCGCCCCCAGGAGGTGGGACCTGGCTGCCTCTGCAGGACAGCAGCCCCACCCCTTTCCCTGTAGCCCCGCCCCTTGGCAGAGCCCCGCCCTTAGTAGGCAGAACCTGCCTCTTTCAACAGGAAGAGATGAAAACAGAGACCCCCCCAGCACAGGCCCTCACCAGTAAGGGGTGCCCACGAAGGAATTGGCAGGAGCCACGATGGAGGCAGAGCCGAAATCCCCAAGCTTCACCTGCCCCGGTTCTGTCAACAGGATGTTTCCAGCCTTCACGTCCCTGCACAGGGGGGTGAGGGGTCACTGGGGGTGTGGATGGCCACCAGGGAAGGCAGGGGTTGGACAGGCACCCATGGGGCCGTACCTGTGGATCATGTTGTGGGTGTGCAGGTAGGCCAGGCCCTGCAGGGCCCCATGCGTGATGGCTGCAATCTCCACCTCCTGCAGTGGCTTCTTGTGCACTGGGGAGGGGGCAGGGGGGGTGAGGCCAGGCTGCTGTGCCCTTCACCCAGCCCCCCAACACCCTCCATGCCCCCCCAGCCACTCACCCTCTAGCAGGTCAGAGGCTGAGCCCAGGCAGTACTCCATCACCAGCTGCGGGCAGGCAGCAGCGCGTCAGTGGGGTGGGGGCATGGACAGACCCCCCCCTCCCCCCCACACTGCCCCCACCCTGCTCACCCAGGCCGTGTGCTCACGCAGGTAGCAGCCCTTGTACTCGATGGTGTTAGGGTGCCGCAGCTTCTGCAGGAACTTCACCTCCTTGATGATGTCCTGCCACTTCTGAAACAGCACCCCACCCCATGAGCCCAGACGCCGGGGTCCCCCACCCCCTCCCAGACCAGACACCGGGGTCCCACCCTCCTGCAGTGGCCTGGACTACAGGGTGCCCCCCCTCCCCACTGGACAGGGGGCCCCCAGCTCACCGCACCAACCCCCTGGGGTCCTACCAGGGTCAGGGGCCTAGAATGGAGGCAACCCGGATGCCTGGGTTCTTTCTAGGCCACAGGGCCGGAGAAGAAGCTCAAATGCCTGGGTTCCCTTATGAGCACATGGCTCAAGAAAGAGCAGCCTAGACGCCTGGGTTCTTTCCCTGCTGCAAGAGGACAGCAGGATGTGGGCCCCAGTGCCTGGGTTCGCTGCGTCAAAGATGATGGCATGAAACACAATGAATATGAGCAAGGGGAACTGGCACCCGGACACCTGGGTTCCCTGCCTGCTCTGGGGGAGCCCGGATGCCTATGTCCTCACCTCGTTGGACTGCTTTCCGCTGTATGACATCTTCTTGATGGCCACCACCTCATTGCTCCGCATGTCACGGGCCTGCAGGGAGGCGGCGGGTCAGTGGCGTGGGGGCGGGGTGCGGCGCCAGGGAAGGGGGAGAAGCCACGGGGGTGGGGACTCACGAAGTATACAGCGCCGAAGCTGCCATGGCCGATCTCACGCAGGTCGACAAAGAGCTTCTCGGGGTCGTCCTTGAAGAAGAGCTCGGCCACTTCGGGGTCCTTGAGGCTGCCGGCCCGGGCGCCGGAGGGCATGGCTGCCGGCCCGTGCGCGCCCCACGGGCCCTGCTCTCCTCCTGCGTGTGTGCGCGGGGGTCAGCACTTGCAGATCTCAGGCACATGGGTACCCAGCCCCCTCAGGGAACTCAGGCACCTGGGGGCTCTCCCAGAAGCAGCCCGGGGGAAGGGGGATCCTTCACTTGGGATCTGCTGGGTGGGGAGCGATAGGCCCCTTCCCAGAATCCTCTATGCGCAGGCCGGGGTTGGCGGCAGCCCTGATGGGAAGGGGCGGGTGGGAGGGAGGAAATCCAGCCTTTGTTCCCTGCTTCCCGGACACCTGCGCCCCGCCCTCA